CAGAGGTACCTAAGGCATCTGGTCTTCTGTAGCCTACTCCATGACTCCCGTCTGTTTATCAGTGTGGTGTTGCCCGACACAACAGCAACTTTAAGATAGACAATACAATTCTAACTAATCACTATGTCTATGCATGAAGTTACCAGGAGTTGTTTATCATCTAATTGTAAATTTGTACCTTTTGTCCATCTTCACCCATATCACCCACACCCCTAACCCCACCTCTGATAACCCCAAATCTGTTCTCAGTTTCTGTGAGCCTATAGTTCTATTGATAGTAAATATAAGTGAGATTACACAATCTGTTTGACTCATTTCACTTAGCATAATTCCCTGAATACTCACCCATAGTATTAAATGGCAGGATTTCCTTCTTTATTGTGACTGATAATAATCCATTATTTTATATCACACATTATTTTTCCCACTGCACACTATGGATAATGTGCCATAATATTTTCCATATTGGTTGGATCAGTGTATTTTTCTACCAATAGTGTACTAGAGTTCATTTATCTACCACACTCATGCAAAGACTTGTGTTTCTCAACACTATTCTATTCATCCATGTGTCTAAGTTTATACCAATAATATACTGTTTTAACTACTATAACTTTGTGTTCTAGTTTAAATATAGAAAGAAAATACTTTCATTATTCCTTTTTATTTTGGTGGGGATTGCTTTGACTAAGGTCTTTTGTGGTTCCAGATAAATTCCAGTGATCTTTATTTTCTCAAAAAAATGTCATTGAAATTTTGATGGGCATTCCATTAAATCTATGTATTGCTTTGGGCATGATGGCACTTTTTTAAAGATCTTTTTTTGTTGTTGAATTATGCAAATAAGAACTTGGATGTAGGCCCAAAATGCAGGGGTAAGAAGATTCTCCAGGAACAGAATGGGAAGCAGGACAGGCAAATCTACTGAAATATACTGCTGAGGGGAAAGAGCAAGAGAGACACAAGAGGTTTGCTGCACAGTGTGGGTCAGTTCCCTGGCAGGAAACTGAACTCAGGCTGGTGACAGCACTGTGATTTAACTCCTAGGCCATCAGGGATACACAAGATGTCATTTTTAATAGTGTTTTTTCATCTAACACATGTGCAGGGATTATCTATCTCCTTATGTCTTTTATTTCTTTTAAACTGGAGTAGAGCCAAAGCAATGCTAATTAGTACTTTTATTAGATTTTCACATGGATGCTACAAAACAATAATGCTCCATTTCTATGAGGTTGCTATGCCAATGATGTCAATTTGGAGTTATTTACAACCTATCATCTCTCGCCATACCTTACAGAAGGAAATCAATATATATTAGAAGATAATAAAAATAATGTACAGAAATAAAGTTTAAAAAATGAAGCAGGAAGTAAGAAAGGGTGAGAAAAACAAGAAAAAGTAAGTAAGTGAGAGGAAAAAATATCTAAAGTGTGAAATTTAGTGAGTTCCTTTGTCTATGAGACTGGATCCCCTAATGGATATCCAATAACATGAGTCAGTAAGTTCCTTGTTTAAATAGTTTCTAGTATCTTATTGTGGTAAAATGAAACACAACATAAAAATTTACCATTCTAATCATATCTAAGTTTGTGGTCAATAGAGAAAGTAGTGCTATGTATATTTCTATTGGTGTGTACCAGATTTCTTGATTTTTTTCTTTCACAAAGCTGAAAATATATTTCTTTTTTGTTTTCATCATATTAAGCATGTTTTACAGTGTCTCACAAGTAATTCAAAGCATTCAAAATAATAATGACATTTTAAAAGTTACAACTACACAATAATTGCAGAAATTTAGAGTAAAATTTTATTATTTTGTCTTTAAATTGATAAAGATGTCTGGAATGATCACATATACATTAGAAGGGCACTATAATGAATATACTTCTCAGTAACTAAAATCTATTGAGAGAAATGATATTATGAATAAAGAAATTTGAATATTATTATCTGTGATTAATTCCAGATATCTATAGGGACGTAATCTGAAATGCAGGCAGAGTTATATGCAAAAATCTTTGTTTTAAAGCAAAAATGGAAAACAAGACTATCAGCTAACATTAGAGGGATCATAAATATAAGTATGATATAATGACATAATGCAATATATATCTTGAAATAATTTTATTTTAAAATACATAGCAATGGGTGAAAATTCTCAGTGTATAATATACTTTAAAAGTCAGGATAAAATTGTAGAGGTAAGGGCTCTCCCTGGTAGAACAACGAGCTAGAGCACAGCGTTATAAGGCTAGCTGCAACCCCTTCAACACGAGTTCCATCCACGGCCAGGGAGGTGACTCACATGGCACAGGAGACTTCTCCTGTCTTGCCTGATGCTCCTTTCAGCAGTGTATTTCATCAATCTGCCTGTTCTGTTCCCAACTCTGTTTCCGGTGAATCCTCTCACCACCCCTGCACCTCTGGTGTGTACCCAGTTCTGTATACATAAATAAATAAATCTTTTTTTAAAAAGTAGAGATAATTAAATCTCAACCCATAAATATATGTTTATTTTGCATAACGTAACACTAGAAATAAAAACAACCAATATATTACAAGTAATTGTCTCCACATAGTAATTATAAAGGTGATCTCTGTATTTTCATTTCTAATGATCAGATAAAGTTTAATATCTCATTTTCAGTAGACAGAAACATAACATTTCATAAGGAAATAAAGCAATGGAGCATTTAACACCTGCAGTAATTGAAACTACAGTCTTCTTAGGATCAAAGATGTACTGATCAGTATCCTTTTGAAAATAACTGAAAGAAGCACAATGTATAATTTTAGGGAACTGGATGAATGTACTGGCTCATTTATTAACCCAGCTAATAACAAAACAGTAGAGAAAAGAATAAAGCTGACTACCCAAAACAGGAACCCACAAATTGAACACACCTAAGTTCTTGTCTTTAATTTAGGTATCTTCTCTTACATTTCCCATTATCCCTGATATGATTTCTGACAACAGGAAATATGATTGTCAATAGTTTCTATACATCAGTCCAAATTCAAATTGTGGTTTTTCTCTCTCTAAGTTCATGTATAACATCCTGTAAAAGCTCAGATTTGGGCCATTTTGGTCAGAGTCTCATACCTACACCATTCACCTGTGGCTAAGACTTGATTCAGAAGCCCAACCTTTGGTCCAGCAAGTGACTAAAGAGGTGGTATCTATAGGTCATCTTCTTTAGCACCACATGGTTAATACAAGAGAAAGGTACATTTGCCAGGAGAAAGGTTGCTGTATTGGTCAGAAAACAGAAGAGAAATCCTAGCAGCAGTTATCTCTTCAGAGAAAAAGGAATGAGACTTTAAAAAAAAAAAAAGGTCCATGTGATGATAGAGAAAATCTTCACTGTACAGCTTGGGATTTTAATCGATCTTGTCATAACTGTAAATTTGAAAGAAGGTGAAATAATAAATGAGTTGGAAGAGTAGGCAGTTTTCTAAATTATCATACAAACAGTCAACAGTCTCAGAATACCTGCTAGTTCAATTGAACATTATTAAATCAATGATGGGAAAACCCAGTGAAATTTCATATTTAAATATACAACTACCAGACAAATTCTAAGGAGGTTGAATATAAAGGTTCTAGCTAATAAATGTATATATAGAAACTGACTTCTATGTGGCCATCAAGAAACAAACAAACAAACAAACAAAAAACAAATGAATAAATAGGATGATGGAAAGCAAAAGAAAAGGCAAATTCTCAAGTAACATAAATAATGAAATAAGAAAAAACCGGTTATGTGATAGGAATTCTGTTAAATGCTAGTCAGTTTAACATATAGTTCTATATGTATAAAGCAACTTTAAGATGTGTAAGGTTGACTCATTTGTACCAAGTCTCTGATGTAGAATGTGCCTTCAGTATTCTTCATCAAAATGGGTATGAATTAAAATTTCAGTATCTTTTGATAAAAATCCCTACTGCCATTAGCAGAATATGCTCAGAAATAAAACACAGCCCAAACAAAAATTTGCTTTGTAATGACATACTCAATGCAGCAGCAATAGTCTTATGTCAGCAAAAAGTAAAGGGATATCTTGGCTAGTTATATATGGAAGGAAGAATTCATACTAAGAATATAGCAGTTTAAATATTCTAGAAATCCTGATGCACATGTAACTGTATCAACTTTTACCTGTAGCCAAATTAATTATTTTAATATAAAACTCTTTATAACTAAACACTTTACAAATAAAAGTTAAAACTCCCCCCCCCCTTTTTTTTTTAAAGAATATAGGGTGTTTAGCCTGGAAAATGGTACAAGAATCAAAAGGAAAATCTTATGATGACCAGCCAGCACAGTCCATACAAAAAGGTAACCTGGTGCAGTATCATTCCTGAATGTGATGCCAGTTATACCTTAGTGCAGAAGTAGCCATTAGATGAAAAGATGATATAGTTAAGTGCCCATATATTTAAGTCATTGAGTAATTCAGCATAAACCCTGTGATTCTGATTCATTCCTATGATTAATACTGACTTCATCACTTGATTTTACAGAAATTTTCCTAAGGTGAAAGAATTATGGCTATGTGGAAAACCAAGAAACTGCCTAATACTTTGTGACAAATTAATATTTTCATAATTGCAATTCTATCTGAGATCAATCTATTTACTGCCAGTTATGGGTCCCCATCTGAGACTAAAGAGATTCAATCTTTGAAGGCCACACATCATGATTAATTAATCAAAGTAATGTCTCCTGAGAAACAAGTAACATTTCTACTTCAAAGTAATGTCTCCTGAGAAACAAGTAACATTTCTACTTCATGAGATACATTTCATCACACCACATGTTTCCTGTCATCATAGGCAGTTTTCAAAATTTCTCATTTAACATTTTCAAAACAGTGGTGTCATTTTAAACCAGAACACCTAATAGAGTAAGATACTTAGGAACTCCTGATATTAAAATAATAGAAATTTAATGATATTCTAAGTCAGTAAAGAAACTTCATAATTCCTCTGTCATTTAAGAAATCCTTCTATAAATAATAAATTGACGGCAGACTTTCCTCATTGACACCCTCATGTCTTTGTTTCTCAATGTATAGATGACTGAATTTAAAAAAGGAGTAAGAACTGCATCAAAAAGAGTAAGAAACTTGTCGAGGTGTGAAGTGGAATGAGGCCAGGTATAAACAAAGATGCAAGGACCAAAGAACAAAGTCACCACTATAACATGAGTTGACAAAGTGGAGAAGGCCTTGGATGAGGCCCCTGAAGAGCGTTTTTGAACAGTAATCAGAATAAAAATGTAGGAGACAATCAATATGAAGAATGATCCCAGAGATATAAACCCACTGTTGGCTGTGACCATGAACTCTAGTTGGTAGGTGTCTGTGCAGGCAAGTTTGATGAACCGAGGAAGGTCACAGTAAAAGCTGTCCAGCACATTAGGACCACAGAAGGGTAACTTTAGCACAAGTGCCAACTGAGCCAGGGAGTGGATAACGCCGAGCATCCATGCAACCACTACAAAGAAGATACATTTCCGAGAGTTCATAATGGTCAGGTAGTGGAGGGGCTTACATATTGCGACATACCTGTCAAAGGCCATGGCAATAAGCAGCACCATCTCCACACCACCAATGAGGTGGATGAAGAATATTTGAGTAATGCAGCCATTAAAGGAGATGACTTTATGTTTTCTAAAAAGGTCATAAATCATCTTGGGAGAAGTGGCAGAAGAAAGCCCCATGTCAATGAAGGAGAGGTTGGCCAAAAGAAAGTACATGGGAGAGTGTAAGTGATGGTCAGAAGTCACGGTGAGCATAATAAGAGAGTTTCCCATCATGCTTGCCACATAAATTATGGAGGAGCACACAAAGAGGAGAAGTTGGATCTGCCAGTTATTGGTGAGTCCCAGGAATACAAATTCTGACACTGTAGACTGATTTGTTCCATCCATTGATTTATCAGCTGGCATATTTCCAAAATAAAGGAAAAGGAACTGAAAGAAGAATTTTAATAGTTGTTTACATTATAATAATCAATATTCAAAAACTTCCATACTGTGAATACTGTATTTTCCCCACAGTTCCTTCTGAGAGTTCCAGAATCACTAGAAGGAATTTATTTGTTAACTACCAGGGCAGCTGAGTTATATCCAAATGCAATATCCATATCACCACATTCTCTAGGACTATTCAACTATAACAAGACAATGAAACAAATATGCTAAGATAGCAGAATCTGATTCATACACAGTATTGTAAACCAAAAGAATATGTGCAGACAGGATTGGGTTGGAGGTGAAATAATGCAAAAAAAAAAAAAAAAAAAAAAATGACCAGGTGGATATGGTATGCCTCAGAACTCATGAATCCATTTTTAAATTGTTCATGAAACAATTCTCCAGTCGTTTGAGTTATCTCACTTCTTAACTTTATATCTTCCCAGGAACATAGTGTGTCTCTTTTTTTTTTTTTTTTTTTTTTTAAAGATCGGAAGAGCACACGTCTGAACTCCAGTCACTGCTCGACATCTCGTATGCCGTCTTCTGCTTGAAAAAAAAAAAAAAAAAAGATGTACCAGTTGATTCTTATGTTTACCTCTGCCTAAAAACCATTGAGCTCTTTGCCAGTAACTCAGCTGCCTTGTT